GTTCACCGGTAAGGAGGACCCAGAAATCCACCTGGACTCCTTCAATCAGAGTGCAACCATGAACGGTTGCACAGATGAAGAAAAGTGCCTCCTTTTCTTCCAGACCTTGCGGAATCGAGCCACCGAGTGGTTCAACAAGCTTCGCCCGGGAAGCATTGACTCATTCAGCGACTTGGCCTCGAAGTTCAAGGCCAAGTTCCAGGAGAACTGTACCAAGAGGAAGAAATTCACCTATCTTAGTACAGCCGGGCAGAGGGAATCTGAGAACCTCACCCAATTCCTTACCTGGTGGAAAGAGGAGGTAGACAAGGTGGAAGAGATGGATGACAAAACCGTCTTATCTCTCCTCTTGAGTGGCTTACGTGCCGGGGAACTATACAAGGAGTTCTGCCGGAAACCCCCGGCCACGTACCAGGAAGCCTACCACACTGCCTGGGAATTTGCTGAGGCTGAAACTCAACTCCGGGCAAAGAAAGAAGCTGAGCATGGTTTCAAGCCCAAGCCGGTGCAAGTCAAGAAGGAAGAAGCACCGGTAACCAGCCGGCCAAGGCACCACTATGACCCGGTCGTTCGCATGGTCAACACAGAAGAGTGCCTGGAGGAAAGGAAAGCAACGGCTCCTTACCCAGTCATTCCTCCGGAAAATCCTACCGGTGAAACTAGGCATCAGTGGTCGGGCACCTATTGTTCATATCACAGGTCAGATTCCCATAACACTTACGAATGCAAGAGTGTTAAGGGAGTGATCCGGCAGATGATAGACAGCGGGGAACTGGGCAAGGATTACCTGCAGAAAGCCCAGGAGAAGAACCATCAATGGGTAAGACCAGCAACCCAGGAGAACGACCGGGACAAGGACCGGCGGAGGAACAACTGGCAGAGGGAGCAACAGCCTGCCCCTGACAAAGAGCATATTGGGATGATCTTTGGCGGACCCGAAGGAGGAGATTCAGCCGCGCAGCGAAAAAACTGGGTTCGCAGCATTTACGTTGGTGAAGTGAGTGCTGAACCGGCCAGGCGTAAGTATCCCAGGAGGGAGCCAATAGTCTTCACTGAACGGGACCTCCCTCCTACCGGTGAAGATCACAGTGATCCATTGGTCATCACCATGGACATCAACGGGGTGGACGTCGCCCGGGTACTTGTTGACACCGGCAGCAGTGTCAACATCCTCTACCTGGAGACCTTCCAGAAACTCAGGTTGTGTCGGACACAACTTGAACCCCTCAAAACCCCTCTCTCAGGCTTCACGGGAGATACGGTGGAAGCTGAAGGGTCCATAGTTCTACCGGTCGAACTAGGATCGGGCGAGAAGGCCGTATGGAAGAAAATGTGGTTCATCGTCGTGGACATCAAATGCGTCCACAACGCAATCCTTGGAAGGCCTGGCATCAACAAGGTCGGGGCGGTGATTTCCATGCCTCACCTATGCATGAAATTCCACACTCCAGGTGGTGTGGGTAAAGTGAAGGGCGACCAGAGGAACGCCCGGGAGTGCTATGCTCGGGCGGTCAAGAAGATGACCAAGGGAGTCAACGTCATCTCCCAAGAAATCACCAAGGGAGAAACCCGGGAGAAACTTGAACCCGAGGCCGAGACGGTGGAGATCGAACTTCACCTGGGTGATCCTTCAAGGATGGTCAGAATCGGAGCCAATCTCCCAGAAGATCTCAAGGCGGAGATTACGCGGGTACTCCGAGAATACGCGGGCATATTTGCATGGAGCGTGGCAGATATGCCCGGAATCGACCACTCAATCATCTGTCACCGGTTGGCAGTGAGAGATGGAAGTCGACCGGTACGCCAGAAGAAAAGGTACCTGGCCAGTGACCGGCGGGACTTCGTCAAGAAGGAGGTGAAGGATCTCCTCAGTGTTGGTCACATTCGGGAAGTCAAGTACCCGGATTGGTTGGCCAACGTGGTTCTTGCTCCCAAGGGGGACACATGGAGAATGTGTGTGGACTACACGGATTTGAACAAGGCGTGTCCGATGGATTCATACCCCCTCCCCAGTCCAGATCAAATGGTGGACGAAACTGCGGGGTGCGAACTCCTAAGTTTCATGGATGCTTTCAAAGGCTACCACCAGATATACATGGCCAAGGAGGATGAAGAGAAGACGTCATTCCTCACACCCGAAGGAACTTACTGTTACCGGGTAATGGCGTTTGGCTTGAAGAATTCGGGGGCAACCTACCAGCGCATGGTGAACAAGCTCTTCAAACCACTGCTGGGAAAGACCATGGAGGCATACGTCGACGACATGCTAATCAAAAGCCAGGTATCTCTCAAACACCCGGCTGATATGCGCGCCACATTCGATATCATGGCAAGATACAACCTCCGGTTGAATCCCAAGAAGTGCGTCTTCGCGGTTCATACCGGGAAGTTCTTGGGGTTCATGGTGACCAAGAGAGGAATAGAGCCCAACCCAGAAAAAATCCGGGCTATCACTGAAATGCAGGCCCCCACGTCTGTGAGGGATGTCCAAAAGTTGACCGGTCGTCTGGCGGCACTCAGCCGGTTCCTTTCCCGGTCAGCCGAGAGGTCCCTGCCTTTTTACAAAGTCCTGAAGAAGGCCAACACTTTTGCATGGGACGAAGAGTGCCAGAGGGCATTCGACGAGCTGAAAGAGTACCTAGTATCAGATATTGTATTGTCTAAACCCCAGCCGGGTGAAACTCTGTATCTGTACCTGGGAATTTCCCCAAATGTTGTAAGCTCTGTCTTAATAAGAGATGATGGGGCACAAAAGCCCATTTATTATGTGAGCAAAGCACTAAACGGAACAGAAAGTAGATACACAGCAATGGAGAAAACAGCCTACGCGCTTTTCATCTCCGCAAAAAAGTTAACATCTTACTTCCAAGCTCACCCGGTAGAAGTCTTGACTGACCAACCGCTGGGTGCAGTGTTGCGTAATTCAACATCCTCCGGGAGGATGGTGAAGTGGGCGATGATGTTAACTCAATTCAACATTGAGTACCGGCCAAGGTCAGCAATCAAAGGGCAAGCCCTTGCGGACTTCCTTGTAGAGATGACCGGTATAACTCCAGATGAACCGGTCAACAAACCCACTGAGCAATGGTGGGAGATGGCAGTAGACGGGGCGTCCGGTCCTAATGGTTACGGGGGTGGTATAGTCTTTACTACCCCAGAAGGATTCAAAATTTACCATGCGATCATCTTCAACTTCAAGCTGACAAACATTGAGGCAGAATACGAAGCTCTGGCTGGAGGGCTCAGATTGCCCAAGCCCTGAAGATCGACCGGGTCAGTATCTGTAACGCCCTAAAATATACCCTAAAATTTATTGAATTAAATATTCAATTTTATCAAATTTGTTTTGATTAAAATAAATGTTTGTTGGGCTTTGGGCCAAAATGAAATATGTTTAAATATTCAATATTACAATCTGGATAAATCTTTTAGAGATAAATCCAATATGTTGAGTTGTTGACTTATTGTGTGAGCTTGATTGGGAACCTGAGTACAGACCCAAATTAAGAATAAATGAAAAAATTGTTTATAATGTGAACTTTGAAATGATTTATTGAAATAAATCATGGAAATAAATGATATGAATTAAATGTGAGAACTTTTTTGAATAAAAGTCAATTAAACCAATTTTGACTCTGTCAAAGTCAACCACCCAAAAATATGATGTCGGAAAAAGTATAACGAATAAATGTAAAAAGTATATCATTGGATAGAGTTTAATTGTACGATCGCAACGGTGCAAACGGATTTCAATTCAGAGAAAGTTGGACCAAAAAGTATACCCCGACTGGGACCAAGTTAGTCCCAATCAGAGAGTAACGTGCTGAGTCTCCTTAAGTCCCACTATCGCCGAAAGAAGAACGTGAATTTCCTACGCAGCATCTACTCAGACTTTGTTTCCTTCTTCTTCATCTTCCCTATAAAAAGGGGAAGCTAACTTCCTCATTTCTACACCATTCTTTACAATTCTTCTTCCTATTATGTTCCTGAGAGTGTGAGGAGTGTTATGGTGCTGTCAATTTGTTGAGAGGTTGCCGGAGCTAGCCACAATCCTCGCCGGAAGTTTTGCCGGAAAATCTTCAAAACCTCCATTACGCTTCGAGGTAAGCCCGTTGATATATCTAGTGACTAGAATGTTCGTATAGATCGTTTCTACGTTCATAAACGGTCGTTTGGTTGAGTTTTGTGTTTGATATGCTTAAAGAACCAAGAATCATAAACCATTAAATTGATGTTAAAACTATGAATTAATGATGCCAAAATGATCTATGAACCTTGGAGAACATCTCTATATAGTTTAGTTGAAATTCGATAACTAAAAACGGTATTTTCGAAATTGGACCCGAACGAAGAAGAAGATGAACAGTAACCAAAAACCAGGCTGTCTGGATCGATCCAAATGGGTGGATCGATCACCTGGGTGTAATTTTTCATATCATGGATCGATCCAGAGGGCTGGATCGATCCCCCGAAGTTCTGATCCGAAAATTTGTTTGAAAATGCTATTTTTGAGCTCTAAAATCCT